ATAATAAATATGTAAACCAGTAACATAGTTTTTTATCATTGTCAAGTATTATGTACTATCCATAATTATATGTGTTATGTTTTTTAAAAAAATATATTTTATTGATTTTATACAGAGAGGAAGGGAGAGGGACAGAGAGCGAGAAACATCAATGAGAGAGAAACATCGATCAGCTGCCTCTTGCACACCCCACTCCGGGGATGTGCCTGCAACCAAGGAACATGCCCTTGACTGGAATCGAACCTGGGACCTTTCAGTCCACAGACTGACGCTTTATCCACTGAGCTAAACCAGTTTCAGCTGTATGTGTTAATGCTTTTATACGGTTGGCAACTTGGCAGATTTGTTCACATTAGCATCACTACAAACACATGAGTAATGTGTTGTGCTATGATGTTAGGATGACTATGACATCACTAGGTGATAGCAAATTTTTTTATGGTATTACAGTGGTATATGTGTTGAACAAAATGTCATTATGCAAACATACATGTGTCTCCTCTTCCTCTCTCTCTCTTTCTCTCTCTCTCTCTCTGTCTCTCTCTCTCTCTCTCTCTCTCTCTCTCTCTCTCTCACACACACACACACACACACACACACACACACACACAGCATTATTATGTCTTTGATTTGGCTTATAAGAAAATCCTGTTTGAATGGGCATGATCTATATATGGAATATTTCTATAGTAAGATAAATCCAATAATTTAATTTACATTTAGTTTAGTGGAAAATTTAGATTTCTTTTTGTTGTTTAAATATATAAATATCTAACAGAATAAAGCTTGCTAATTCAGGAGACTTTTAAAATACACAAATTTCAGTTTTTTTCTTTTATAGAGAAGTAGGAACAAGCGTCAAATGTTATTTACTAATAAGGGTATATATATGTAGAGAAAATATGCTCTTTCCTCCCTTCTCTGATCTTTAATGATAAACTCTAACGCTGCAAAATAAAGATTCTGAAAGAGAAAGTATATAATCCTTAAAAACCTCATTTTCCTTTGGTTACAATTACCTAGGTTATTGTCAACTTTTCACAGAAAAATTTCATACCTTCTCTAAGTTTTATTTAGTCGCTAAATAGAAAATAAACAGTCAAACAAAAACCAAATTGACTCAAAAAACAAAAACATGAATTGAAAGAAAAAAGTATTTTATATCCTACTTGAATAGGATATAATTTTATCAAGGTAGGAAAACAACCAGGTTGTTCATAATTATCTTATGCCTAGCATATAACCTTATAAATGTTATAAATACTTATGATTATAGATTATGAATATTTTTATGCCTAAAGAGTAGGCATTAACATATTAATATCTAAAATGCTTAGATATTTAAGTAAAATATTTAGAGGTAAGCTTAATTTGAATTACTTTTGAATCAAACATTGTGATTATTAGATGTAGAGTTTATTAGAACTTAAAAGTTTATTTATTTGACATTAGTAATTTTGAATGGACTACAACCTGTTTTCCAGAATTGAATTCTTCCTGCTGATTACATAATTTTTTTTGCTCTTTAGGAAACTTAAATTTTTTGATGTTTAGAAATAAATATTTTTAGAGGGTAACTAGCCAATAAAACTGTTTCCCTTAATCATTGTTTTAGAATTTTTTTAAATAGGATAATGAGTATCTTTTTGTTTTTAATTTTATTTGTATGGTAAACCTTGGGAGATTTTCTGAGTCGGCAAAGAAGAAATTGGAATGGTCAGAAAACTCCTGCTACCAGCCCTATTATGTGGTGATTTTCAACAGTGAGGGAAGATTAGACATGGGGAACAAAATGCATTTGCGACTCTTTTCTTGCAAGTCTGAAATTAAAGGATAAATTTTGTTATAAATGAAATAAGGAAAAGCTGATGGTTAGGGCCTCTGACTTTGATTTTTAAAGTTTTAAAAATTATTGCATGATACTAACCCCTTGGGTAGATAGGTAGAATTTTTTTTTTTTAATTCAGAGATAATATTGTGTAGGAGATTGTCCTACCATAATCTGAAATAATTAATTACATTTAGTAGTTTTCTGTCAAGTATTCATTAAAATAAAATTCCTAGTAACATGTTTTTAAAGTATCTTATTTGATGGTTGAATAAACATAATTGTTCCTGTATTTATATTTTAATGAATATTTTTGCAAATTACACTGAAATCAAAGTTGACATTCTAGTTCTGACAGAATTGCTCATGTTTCTGGTTAGCTCTTTAAAAGTACTGTCTAGGAAATCTTAGTTTTTATAAGAGAATATAGCCATTAATTTTTTCCTACAGATTAGGCAACAGAAGATTTGTGAAAACAAAATGTATTGATCTCATTTATGTTCCCTTGATGAAGGAAAACATCCTGGTCTCCGCTCGCTTTCTGTCCACTAATATGAAATCCTTGTCCCTGCTTCCTTGCTGGTAGGTTTTTAGAAGTTCAGTGAGCAATGCAAATCGCCTGAAGGGTGGAAAATTTCCTTGTCACACAGATTCCCTTATCAGCAGCAACCAGATGGGGCTCTGAGCAGGAACATTATCAATGTTAAATTGCTTTCCTTCCCCCTTGGCCCCGTCCCCCACACCCCCACAAATAGAGAGGATTAAAGCATTCCTTTAGAAATGGGTGGCAAATGTACAGACTTAGGAATATTAATATTTAAAGTTTGCATTTCTAAGTAAATATATGAAAATAACATTTCAAAACATTCCTGTTAAAAAATACAATCAGAACTAGTTCAAAGTGGTTTGTTTTAAATAAAATAGCATAATATTTTTTCTTGAATTCATTTACAAAGAGGAAGCTTGAAACCTGGCCGCCTAATTTTTTTTCTTAAGAATGGGGATAGCTCACTATTAGAGACAAATGCATGTCTAGGATATAAAAAACTTCATTCAGTGTTAGTAGTGGCAAATAAAGGTATATTTAATATTATTAATACTGTTGAAGTAAAAATACAGTTTTTGACTCAGAATTTTTATTTATTATTTTGGCAAAAATTGCTATTTTACTTTTACTATTTTTGAGTGAATCTTTAGATTCTGCATCGGTTTGATTTTTGAAATGTCAATTTACTAATTATTGCTATTTTGTAAGCTGATAATTGCTAAGTGTTTTATAATTTCAGGTCTATAGGAATAATACTACTGATGTTTAGCAGTATTAACAGTTACACAATATATTTTAATAAAACTAATTGTAAATGTCCACAGAAGAGACTGCTGTTAATTATGTTGTTCCTAGTCATTTTTATGTTAGTGATTTTGTTTCTTGGTATTGATTTCTAGAACCATCTAAGCTCCAATGAGTGATAACCATTTCTCTGATAGAAAAATTGGTATGCCCTTGTGTGTTGTCTGATAGTAACCACCTACTCCGTGGCTAACAGTTGGAATACAAATTCTTTCTTTAGATTCATTTGTAGGTTTATGAAGTGCATTGTACTTATTTTCTATATGGAAAGTATTTGCCAACATTTAGAATTTTGAACAATTATACTGTGACATGCGGTTTTGCAGTTATAAGTATGAATATACTGTATAAGTAAGGACAATAAGCTGCCCCCTTTTAATTTCAGAAATAAAATTGTACTGATATTGCATAGATTATACTTTTGCAAATAATAAAGTTGAACTTTATTGTTTAGGTTGACTCAGTCATATCAATAAGACAAATTAAGAAATATTGCTTCAGCCTAATGACTGAGATATATTAAAATGCTTTATTTACAGAACCAATTTGGAACTTGAATTAATACATCGAGGAGGCAATTTGTGTTCAGGGGGTGCAAGCACAGCTGGCAAAAGGTCTTGTTTAAGTAAGTATTAAATGGTGCTAAAATTTTCTATTTATGTCTTTTTTGAAAGCATATAGAGACAAAGTAATTTTTTGGTGTATTTTTAGTTTCTTTTTATGTTGTATATAATCATTTTTAATAGTGATTATATACTTTAAATCATTAATCTTGTACTTAGAAAAAACCCATATGAATATTTAGCTCTTTCTGTACTGTGATTACTCAGTAAATGTATGTCATACTAATTGACCAGATTTACATTGGTTCTAAAACAGTATGATATTCTCAGCTATAAAAAATTGTTCTTAAACTGGATTTTTTAAAATAATTTTTTCATTGTGTACATTTAAGAAAATCTTTTCATAATGACAATTAGTATTGTCTATAGATTCCTCTAGTATATAGCTACTATTAATTAAGGAAGGCATTTATGTTGTATATGTGTTAAAACCTATTAAAGTTATATGTTTGCTTTTATTTATGAATATACTTTATATTGTAAAGTGGCATGATTCTTTAATACTTCTTGTAAGGGTATAGTTGAGAGAAGTGTCATTTGGAACTTGAAGTAGATTTTTCATGAACATGAACTTGAAACCTGGGTATGTGCCTTGACCGGAAATTGAACCCAAGACCCATCAGTGCATGGGAAGATCCTCCAGCTAACGGAGCCACACCTACCAGGGCTGTTATTTTTTTCTTTAGGTTGAATCAAAAGATGATAAAGTAAAAATTCCCTAAAAAGTCCCTAAAAAAGACTTTGAGGAAAATATTAAGAAAAGAAAAAACATCACCTAACTGATTTATATGGCTGTTATTGTCTGTATTATTCAGGGCAGGGTAATGAAGATAATAGTAAATTTTGGTTCGGAGGAGACCACAATAGTGAGAAGTACATGTTTTAAAGCTATAGCACAAAGCCCAGGAAAAGTAGGTCTATGACAGATGAGGAAAAGGAACCATTCCTGTTAAGATTGAGTATAAGGACAGTCCAGATACTAACTGAAATTATTTAGATATATTTCAGAGTTTAGCTTAAAAGACAGCATGAAGTAGTTGGTACTTAAACCTAGTGAATTATAATTATAAGAATAGGAAATATTTCTTTATGAATTAGACATTTTGTCTGAATTTCGTTCTGGAAGAATTTTATAAACTTTCTAATTACCTTTTCTTTAATTTATTTAGATCAACTGTTCCATGTATTAGCCTTGCACATGCGGCTTTATAGCATTGATTCTGAGTTTAATCCCTGGAGAAAGCTTACTCAGTTAGAAGAGTTGAATTCGCAGTAAGTATTATTGAAAGATTAAGTTAATTAAAATTGTTTTTGAAAAATACAGATAAAACATTCAAATGGACGCACACAATAGCTGGTTGTGCCTCTTTTTATGTCAGAATTGATCAGTGGGTTCAGATAGCCTAAGTCTGATCCCTCCATTGTAAAGTTCCCCATCAGCCTTTCATCTAATGATTTTGCAATCCCCGATGATTCTTGCCTAAATCTGTTATTTCATTAGATGCTGCAAAATAGTGATATTAAAAAACTAGATATTGGATTTATAGTATAGATGGCTCAGAGGAGGGGGAAGCGTAGTCTTTATGGTGAATGATGCTGGTTAATTGACTATTTATATGACCCTTACTTCATACAGAACCTATTCAGATTTTGCTAGTTGTTTCAGTAATATCCTGGGAAATGCTAATGCAATGCAAAGACAATTTAAAATCATGCTTGTGTTTAGTTGTCATATCTTTTTAGTTTCCTTTAATCTGAAATCGTTCCTGACTTTTTCTTTGTATTTTATCACACTGACTTCTTTTTTGAAGGGCTTAGGCCAATTATTTTGTAGAATTTCTCAAAATTTTTTGTCTACTATTTCCTTGTAATTAGATTCAGGCTATAAACTTTTGGCAGAAATACCACAGAAGTAATGTGTTCTTCTTCTTTTTTAAAAAAATTTATTTTATTGATTTTTTACAGAGAGGAAGGGAAAGAGAGAGCTAGAAATGTCGATGAGAAACATCAACCAGCTGCCTCCTGCACACCCCTACCGGGGATGTGCCCACAACCAACATACATACCCCTGACCGGAATCAAACCTGGGATCTTTCAGTCCACAGACCGATGCTCTACCACTGAGCCAAACCGGTTTCAGCGTGTTCTTTTTACTGTGTTGAATCAGCAGGCACATGCCTTGATTTGTCTAGAAACTAATGGAAAGGATATCCTCAGATGAGGATTTAAAAAAATATATATTGAAAGGACAGACATAGGTACTATGCTTTCCATAATATTGATTGCTGGGTTGTGTTCTTTTTAGGCCCTAAAATAAATACCCATTAGGATAGTAGTAAATGCTTTGAACAACTTATCTAGTGTTTATTTCATGGTAAGGCATTTTTGATATAATCTCATTTTATCATCACCATAATGCTATACACTAGGTACCATAGTTATCCCAGTTTTTACCTACGAGGAACCTGAGGCTTAGAAAAGTTAAGTAACATACTCTTTTTGGGATATACAGCTTTTAAGGAATAGAGCTGGTATTTGAATCCAAAACTTTCTGATTTTGGAGGCCTAACTTCTTAACTGTTTGCTACTCTACAGATCTGAGGAATTTCCAGTATGGTTCACTAAGTTGTAATACTAATAATGTCATCTGTTTTATATCTATAATATTAAATTTTTAAGAATTGAAGTATCTTTTCCTATTTTCTCACTTTTAATACTTCTTCAACATCAAATTGTATGTCTAATGATATAGATTTCAAATATGCTTTTTCTATAATCCTCATGAAATTTATTTCCTTTTAATTTTATTGATGATGAATTACATATTCAGGACATCTGTACATTTTTCTGTTGGTATCTTATTTTTTAAATATTTCTGAATGATTATTGATGTTTCTCCTATTAGTCTCTCTCTCTCTTTCTTTCCCCCCGCCCCTCCCTTCCTCCCTTCTCCCGCCCCTTCCCTTCTCTTCCTCCCTTCCTTTCTCTAAAGTCAATGAAAATATATCTTTGTGTGAGGACTAAAAAAGACAAAAAAGATTATTTTTTAGGCAAGAATTATGGCCCCTAGCTTTTTCTTTTGAGATTTCTCAGTTACTTATGAAAGTTTGATTTCTGTTCCATAGATATATGTATAAAATAGAAAATGAATTAGAAAGAAAAGATGTACAATACTGTCTAAAGTGATTATACATTTTCTTTTAGGCTGGGAAATGAAGAACAACAGCCTGAGGTTCCAATTCTTTATCATGATGTTACATCCCTTTTGCTCATCCAGATTTTAATGATGCCACAACCCTTACGCAAAGGTATAGCGTTATAATTCAGATTCTTAGATTGTATAGTATATATAATGAATATTCTACTAATTGTAGCAACAAATATAGCATTCATCTAGTGGAATTATTTAGAAGTAAGTAATGTTGTTTTTTCTATTTTTAGTAAATAGAAATCATATATATAAAGAAAATGACAATGAAATAAAATTGCTTTTTCCCTTATAGGTCTGTTCTTTTTAGCTTTTTAGTCCATGATGAGGTAAAGACATGGGAACTCACTCTAAAAGCATGGGATGACACTCAACTGAGTCACACCAGTTAGGGCTTTAAAAAATATATTTTTATTGATTTTTAAAGAGGAAGGAAAAGGGAAAAAGAGAAACTGATGTGAGCAGAACATCTATTGGCTTTCTCTTGCATGCCCCCCTACTGGGGATCCAGCCCACAATCTAAGGCATGTGATCTGATGGGAAATCAAATCAGCAACTTTTTGGTGCATTGGATGATGCTCAATCAACTGAATAGCATAAAATAATAGAAGGAACAGTGAATCTATTGATGTGTGTGGATTCAAGTTCAGACCTGTGTGCTTATTAGCTTTGTTACCACTGGCACATCCGTTTGAAGCCTAATTGTCAAATTGAAACTGTTCTGAGGATTGAATGAGACATTTGAGGAAATTTTCTGTTAGTAGGTGTTTATAAGTATTAATTACTTATATGATTACTAAGCTACCATTTATTAAGTACAAAATACATACCAAGCATCTTGCATTATTGTTACTCTTGTTGCATTGTTATAATTCTCATTGCATTTTAAGACTCAGAGTACCTAAAATATTGGTATTTCTTTTTCTATTTTAGAAGTTCTATATTGCATTATATTGTATTATATTATGTTATTATTTACAAAATCTATATCATATTAAAAGTAGATGAAGTATTGGTTTTAAGCACTCAGTCTACCAGACATTGTTAACTACATGATATCTAGTAGGGGATTTGCCAAGGTTACACAGCTATTCTGAGATTGAGTTGCATTAACACTCTGGTCTTCTAAAACACACCACACCTTCCACTATGCTAAATGCCTCACATTTATATATTCAGTGGGTAAATAAAGGAACTTAGATGGCATAATTTCAGATTTGTTGAGTAGAAAGTATATCACCACATTATAATCTCATTTTATTGACTACTTAAATGTTGAACAAAAATCAATTACACATGCAAAGAAAGGCATATATTTGTGAAATTATCCTAGATAATAAAAGCCCAATATGCTAAATGTCCAGTCATTAGGTTGTTCAGTCAACCAATCAAAGCATAATATGCTAATGATATGCTAAGGCTGCTCAACTGCTCACTATGATGTGCACTGACCATCAGGGAGCAGACAGTTGACTAATCGACCAATTTCTATGATGTGTACTCACCACCAGGGGCAAATATTCTGACTAGTAGGTTAGCTTGCTGCTGGGGTCCAGCTGATGGGGACTGAGCGAGAGAGGCTGGGCACGCCCTGCAGCCCTCCTGCAGTCCTTCCCCTGCTGGTCAACTCCTGCATCCCTCTCCTCCCCCAGGCATGCACTGGTGGGGTCCCTCAACCTGGCCTGTGCCCTCTCACAATCTAGGCTGAGAGACTTCTCCCCCTTTCCCTCACCCGAGTGCATGAATTTCACGCACCGGGCCTCTGGTCTTGACTATAAAATGTCTAGATTCCAAAGAAATAACAATCTTCTCTTTCTCTTGTAGACCACTTCACCTGCATTGTGAAGGTGCTTTTTGCCCTACTGTACACACAAGCTCTTGTGGCACTTTCAGTCAAATGCAATGAGGAAGATAGGTCAGCCTGGAAACATACAGGAGCTCTCAAAAAGGTTAGTGTCTTAACCGAATTTATCATCTAGTAGTTTGATAAACTCATTTATGTTGGAGGTATGAATGAATGAGATTAGATATTTCAAAGATAAAATGAGTTATTAACAAAGTATTTTAATTGAAAATGTAACACATTCGGGCTAAAAACGTTGAAAATGTTACCCTTGTACAATGAGGTCTTTTGCATCTGTTTCTAAACCTTGGCTTTTATCCCTTTATATTTGGGCAGTTTTGTTTTGCTTTTGCTATAAGTCTTAAACTTATAGAAGTCACAAAAATTTTGTTAACACAGTGAGAAAGTAACACAGTGTCTGCAGATTTATTTATTTTACTATATGTCACCATTTCTTCTTCTTATCCCTGTCCCCAGTCACAATCCAAAAATGGCTTTTCACTTACCATTTCTAAACTTAAAAATCCTAAGGTGAAAGGTGTATTGGAAATGTATTGCATATAAATACAACTGCTATGTTTGAGATAACTCAATTACTGTACTTACTAGTTTGTTTGAGGCTTTCCCCCCCCTTGTTCTATTGGGATTGTAAGTTTGCCTCTCAGATACTTTATATGCTTAAAAATAAAATATACTAAACCTAAAAAATAATCCTAACCTTTTCTTAATGATACCTCTTTAAGTACTGCTTCCCCCCCCATGTTGGAATATAAAGGTTCTTAGCAAATTTAAAGGAGATCTCTTTAGTTAAAATTATGTAAACAATTTAGAACAATTGTGCACATTTAGTTAAATGTATTAAAGTATTTCAATGGCTTGAGAACAAATGAGATACTGTAGAATCTGTGACTGAGTGGTTTGGCTTACAAATAGTTTAAAATAAGAAAGTTACTTCAGTATTTATTTAGGAAAATTAGTAGAAAAGAATAGGTGTCGTATAAATTAAACCTTTGTTAGGTTTATAAAGGTTTTTATACCTCATTGAAAAGTTTCTGTTAAAATCATATCTATTTGCCCTGGCTGGTTGTTAAGTGGTTAGAGCATTGGCCAATGGGATGAAGGGTTGTGGATTCGAATCTTGACCAAGGACACGTACCTTGGTTGTAGACTCGATCCCAGGCTCCAGTTGGGGCTTGAGTGGGAGGCAACCAGTTGCTGTGTCTCTCTTACCCCTCTCTCTCTCTCTCTCTCTCTCTCTCTCTCTCTCTCTCTTTTTCTCTCTCTTTCTCTCTCTCTTTCTGTCTCTCTCTCTCTCTCTTCCCCTTCCTCCTTCTCTCTCCCCCTCTTCTACCTCCCATTCTCTGTAAAAAAAAAAAAAAAAAAAAAAAAAAATCAATGAAAAACTATCCTCAGGTGAGGATTAAACTACTTAAATCGAAGGGGAGAGAAGATTATTTATAAACACATGAAATATACTCAACATAACTTTCACTTTTATCTCCAGTTTACTCTCAAGTCATGATTTTGTGTACAAAGTTTAGTATAGTATCATCACAATGTTCATTAGTCTTAATTAGGGATATGGGTGGTTGGCCATTGAACCTAAGTACTAGGCCGAGCTTCTACCACTAAATAGAGATATATATTACTTTTTCAGTTAAGACATAAAAACTCAATGAACTTCAATTTTCCCAGAGGTAAATGAGAATTTGGAATATATAATTTATAATGGTGCCTCTCTTTTTGAAATTGTTATTTCAAGTTATCAAAATGGATTTTTGTCTTTTCTTGCAATGGTTTTTTCTCCTTGTTCTTAGATAATTTTTATTTTGCAATTATCTTTATTTTCCCTAAATATTCTTTCAGTTTTCTGAATGCATTCAAATCTGATATTTGTATTGTTAGCATTCAAATCAAGTATATTAAGTTTTTATGCTATGTCATTGTTTAACTATGTTTTCTTAATAAACTGTCTAATAATGAAAAATTGTATATTTAAAACACTTCCTGGTATCATTTGGATCTAAATCTATTAATCTAACTGCAAAAATAAGACTTAATGACAGAATATTAGACAATTATAAATCTATGATGGGAGGAACATGAGCTAATTTAGGTGACTTCTGTTAATGTTCTTTCTTGACTTGATATTAGCTATTTAAAAAATACTTAATAAAACCTTTTACATGAGTTAGATTCTTATCAGATGTAGCTTAGAAGTTTATACCCACATAAATGGCTTTAGTGAATGAAAGGAAACTTTATAATTATTCTGTAGGTTGTTTTGCTGTTATTAGCTTTTTCTGCAGTTGATCTAAATATTTAGAAATGTAGCATCTATATATACAAAAAGCCAGTGTCCATGACAACCAAATGACTGGTCACAATATGGTACATTGAGCACCTTTCAGTCCCTCCCCCATAGCCCACAGGCTCCAATTGCAGCAAGGCCGGCAGCGGGTGGTGGGTGGGTGGATCAGCAAGTACAGTGAGCAGTGGCAGGCAAGCAGTGGTGGGTGCGTGGTGAGCAGCAATGAGCAAGTGGGCGTGGCTGTGAGTGCCACAGGGTGGCAGGTGGGTGGGTGAGGCTGTGAGCAGTGGCAGCCTACTGAGTGTGATTTTGCACGCTAGGCCTCTAGTATCCTATATAGTAAAAGACAAATATGCTAAGTGGCTGGTTGTTCGGTTGTCCATTCAACCAATCAAAGTATAACATGCTAATGATATGCTAAGGTCACTCAACTACTTGCTATGACATGCCCTGACCACCAGGGGGCAGACACTTTGATTGGTAGGTGAGCTTGCTGCTGGGGTCTGGCTGATTGGGACTGAGTGAGAGGTCCAACAGGCCCTGGAACCCCTCCGTGGTCCCTCCCAGGCTGGCCAATTTCCTGCGTCCCTCCCGGGCCCCTATTGTGCACTGGTGGAGTCCCTCAGCCTGGCTTGTGTCCTCTCACAGTCCGGGACCCCTAGGGGGATTTTGGAGAGCTGGTTTCGGCCCAATCCCGCTCAATGGAAGAGCTTCCCCCTGGTGGTCAGTGTGCTCCCACAGGGGGACCGCTGCCCAGCCAGAAGTGGGGCTCATGGCTGGTGAGTAAGGTGGTGGTGGTGGTGGGACCCTCTCCTGCTTCTGTGGCAGCACTAAGGATGTCCGACTGATGGCTTAGGCCCGCTCCCGATAGTGCTTCTGGACTGTGAGAGGGAGCAGGGTGGGCTGAGCGACCCCCCCCCCCAGATGCATGAATTTTGTGCACCAGGCCTCTAGTAAATAATAGCAACATCTATATAAGTAATGAAATGTATCATTGTGACTTTTGTACCTACTTAGATTTCTGTATCATTCCTTCCTTCCTTTTTTATTTCTTTTCCTTCTTCTCATCCCTTTCTTTTCTTTTCTTCATGGAGCCTCTTTTATTTCAACCCACCCTATAATTCTTTATTCTCAGGTATGATAATTCCAGTGAAAACAAATTTTTGTCAGATCAAATCTACTCTAGAGCAATAAATATATATATTTTCTAAAAGAATATTATAGAGATAATTTGATAAGGAAGTTCAGTTGTGTTGGGAAAATGGTCATTACAGTTAGCATATTCCCCCCCCCCCCTTTGGAATATCTGTTAAAAGAGATTTTATACAGGATTTCTTTGCTCCCCCCATCACCATTTATCCCCATCTCATGTCCTTTTCCACTTCTGCCCTTTTTTGCTCCCCCCGGAGTCACACTATTATCCATGTTCATGAGTTCTTTTTCTTTTTTAGCTCAGTCCTACCACCCGGCCTCCAATATCCTTCCACACACACCAGAGCTGTCTGCTTGCTCTATAATTTTGTCTCTATTTTGCTTCTCAGTTCAGTTTGTTCATTAAATTCCACATACGAATGAAATGACATGGTACTTGTCTTTCTCTGACTTGTCTGGACTACTTTACTTAGTATAGTGTTCTCCAGGTCCATCCATGCTATTGCAAAACATAAAATTTTCTTCCTTTTTATAGCCGAGTAGTACTCCATTGTGTAAATGTATAGGTAATGATGTCTGGGTAATGATGTTACATAGCAATGCTGGCTTTTTCTCCCTAGTGACTAGCCTCCTTGCAGTTTCTTCAGTCCAGGAACATGACTTGCTTTATAGCCAGGTGGAAACATTTCACACTTTAACCAAATGTCTGTGAAGTGTTTTCCCATGCCTCATCTCATTTGATCATCACAGAAATCCTAGGGTAGGTAGATAGGAGACTCGGTGGAATCCTATTTTTTTTTTTCATTAGCTGGGCAATGGAGATTTAGAAAGCTTAGAAACTTGACCCAACTGAAAAGAAGTAAGAAATGGTGGACCTTGAAAATGACCTCAGGTTTTCTCACTGTGCAGAATATAGTCAGACATGGCTGCAGTTAAACCCTTTGTTCTCTCTGCATGATCTACAATAATAATCTGCTTCATGTTGATATTTACTGTTGTGTGGTTGACAATTACCTGAAAGAAAAGTTGGGGCCCTTCACTGGGCTGGAAAAGGTTTAGCAACATCAGAAAGCAAGTCTAATTAAGCAAGTTTATTCTATATCTATAAAAGGCTAAGTTGACTTGTGCATGCACGATACATATAAAGCCCTCGCTGGTGCCAATCGCATATGTGTTTCCACCTGTCATTGTCATGAACTTGGTTAATATAATACTTCTATTATAGAGAAAGGGTGAATAGCGATATTAAAGTATTTCTTTTAATTAATTTCCTCTCAGAGTGCATGAATTCATGCACCGGGCTTCTAGTGTAATCATAATTATGCAGTACTCTTTAAAAAGTGTTCTTTTTAATGTTAACCTTTTGTAAATTTAGTGACTGAGATAACTAATATTTTAATTTTTTCTAGAATACGTGTGATGCAGAAAAGTCTTATAAAGTGCTTTTGAGCTTTGTGATAAGTGAACTATCTAAAGGAAAATTATACCATGAAGAAGGAGCTCAGGAATGTGCAATGGTATGTTTTCTCTAAGGTTAGATGTAGTGGTTATTTTTAGTTAAAAATTTAGACTTTGTTGTCATTATGAATATAATTTTTAAAGCTGTATCTGTTATAGAATGAATTATTCAGGTTTTCTTTTTTTAACTTTAGGTTAGCCCTACTGCTTGGTCTTCTGAATCCATGGAAAAATACTTACAGGACTTCTGCTTACCTTTCCTCAGAATCGCCAGCCTTCTTCAGCATCACCTTTTTGGGGAAGATTTATCTAGCTGCCAGGTATAATTTGGGATAGAGATTAAGGTGCATTCATTGTTTTAGTCTAACTGAAAGGAATAAGTATTTAGAATATTTATTGTTATTGTATTTTTTATTTGTTACCATCATTCATTTTTATGATAATATTACTAATGTTTGATATTGGCGTAGTTTTGGATTAGATCATTGATAATAAATGGCCAATACATTAACAGGATCATAGTATTCATATTCAATAGATATAGTTATCACTATCTCTATTGATAAATTTGTCACTAATTGCTTTTAATATCCTTTAAAAGTTACGTTGATCAGAAAGCTGGTTATCTGAAGATATGATTATGTTTATGTAATTTAGAACAACAAAATGTTTGATTTATAGCCACTTATATTAAAACTTGGATGAATGAGTTATCACTAATTTAGTATATTTCTTAGAACTGTTGGTTAATATAGGAGTAGGAAAGACAGTGACAGGATAGGAAAGCAGAAGGTAAGTAAACCAAATTAGCTTTTAGGCTTATGTTTCTAGCATTATCTGCCATTCATTTTCAGTGAATTGGATGTGGCCATTAAGGTATTTATTATATTTATGGTTTTTGAAGCCTTAAGTATATCAGAATTTAAAACTCAATTATTCCTTTTCTCCTATGTAATTGGCCATTGCATAGTTTGTATGCTTTGTTTTTTATCAAATGATTTGAGTTTAAACTCTACACATTTGTCCCCAAAACTTTATATTTAGGATTATAATATATTGAACAAATTAAAAATTTTCAAAAATTCTTCACATCACTGTATTATACCAATAATCTAGGAGAATCTCCTTAATCAAAAAGTAGGGATTAAACTGTGGGGTTTTTCTTTTAAAAAAATATATTTTATTGATATTTTACAGAGAGGAAGGGAGAGAGATAGAGAACTAGAAACGTTGGTGAGAGAGAAACATCGACCAGCTGCCTCTTGCACACTACCTACCGGGGATGTTCCCGCAACCAATGTACATGCCTTTGACCGGAATCGAACCCAGGACCTTTCAGTCCACAGACTGATGCTCTACCACTGAGCCAAACCGGTTTTGGCGGGTTTTTCTTTTTTAACAGCAATTCAGGCACTGGGTTGCCAAAGTGACTTCAAAAGTACAAATATTTCTAAAATAAATGGTGATGATTTAACCAGCCATACATCAGGGTTGTCTGGGACTGATTTTGTAGTCACTAAAAAGTGGATAGAGTGAGAGACCTGTGGAATCTTGGTCTTGTCAAATCAAGTAACTCACTTGAAGACTCCAGCTTTAATCATAATACCTTTAACTTAAGAAGTTATCCCTAGCACCAATGTTAGTGATCATGGGCACGAGGAAGGGGCTGCCCAACCAGGACATTTACCTACATTCAGTCTTTCTCTTTCTAATTGTGGTCTATTACCAACTGCCTGCATTATTCTCCACTCACGCCTTAACCCCACAAAATTTATTTTTTCTGCCTACCAATACTGTCCTGCAGCCTCAAATGTTACTAAGGACCATGTGATTACAGCACAGTTTGCTATGCCTCATCACACCTTCCTTTAATCTCTCTCCTCCCTTCAGTCCCATGACACTGCAGCAGTTTTCTAACACACTTTAGCAGTAGAACCTTCTTCCAAATATTATCTTGAAAAAATATAGTAAGTCATGAGATCATACAATATAAGTTCTCAAAATCTATTCTTTTTCAAAGTATGTTTTGGCAATTCATTGCATTTTCATAAAATTTTTAAATTGGTTTGGAAATTTCTATAAAAAACAAAGCCTATTTAGATTTTTTGGGGGTGGGGGAGGTTTATATTGACTCTAAATATTAATTTAGAACTGTCATCTTAGTTGGAAGGACTGATGCTGTAACATTATAATGTTATCACCTTAACATTGAGAACTCCAGTAATGGACCTATTTATATTCCCTCTGATTTGGATTAATTAAGCTTCTGAGATCTGTGGGTTTGTAGTTTTCATAAAAAAATAAAAAAATGTATATATTGAGAAAGGATTTGTATCCAGAATATATCAGGAATTTTTATAACTCAATAATAAGAAAACAAAAAACATATGGTGGTCAAAAAAATTTGAACAAACACTTCTTATAACAATATATATGAATGGCCAATATGTACATGACAAAATGTTCAACATCATTATTGATTAGTGGAGTACAAATTAATGTTATAACTATTGATAAGGAGTTAGATAGACTCTCGTTCATTGCTGGTAGGAATACAAAGTGGTATAGTCAAATTCTGGCAGTTTCTTTAAAATATTAAGCATACACTTAACTGTATAACACAATGATTCTATCCCTATTTATCTATCAAAAGTATGAAAGCATATATCCACATAAATACTTGTAAATGAATGTTCATAGCAGCCTAATTTATAGTAGTAAAAAACTGGAAATAACCCAGAAGTCCTTCAACAAGTGAACATGTGAACAAAATGTGGTATGCTCACATAGTGGAATACTACTCAGTAATAAGAAAGAATTGACTACTGATACACACTATAACATGAATTAATCCCAAAATGTTATGCTGAAAGAGGCCAGTCACAAAAGAATACATACACAAAAGAAGAGGCTGGAATTGATTACATAGAGGTAAAAGGAATATTTTTTTTGCTTGGAATTCTTCTTAAATTTTATGATAGCAGTAGTTGCATGACTATACTTTTACTAAAATTCATCAAACTACACTTAAGGTTGGTTAATTTTATGGTTATGGAAGTTATACCTCAACAAAGTTGTTTTTTAAAATGCTCTCTTCGCATAGGTATATAAATGGGGGATTTGTGGCTTTACATCTAGAGATTTTAAAAAATTAACATTTTTTTTAGCTTTCTTATCATTTTGCCTTTTTATCTTTGTACCATATTTCACATTTGTACCTAATCTAGAAAATTAGTTCACTTTTGCAAAGAGATGCTGGTTGAATTTCTATTATGTGCCAAGCCCTGGCAAGACAGAGCTCCTACACCCAGGAACCACTCCCACAGTCTTATAGGAAAGGCTAATGTATTTTTAAACTAACTAATAACAAATATCCAAGAAGAGAAGTGTTGATGAGGCGTGGAAGGATTAATCTTATCTGAATGGGAGCGAGTGATGTAAAGTCTCATTAATCGGGATCGGGGAGGCCTCTCGGGAGCTGGAGGATTTGAAGAATGGCAGGAATTGATCCAATGGACAGAGAAAAGTAGACACATTAGCCTCAGAAATGGTTTTTCAGTTAAATAAAAAGGGATTGGGGAATATACTTTGATTTTCACAAGACTAACAAACTCCTTAAAAATAAACTTTAAAATGTCAGTGCTTGGATGGCTTATTTCTCTGGTTCTGTTTTACTGAGTGGAGCTTCAAGAGTGCCCGACATTTGGATCTCGGAAGTTTTAAAAAATTCACTTCTATTTTTATTTATTTATTTATTTAAATGTTTTTGGCAGATTTATTTATTTATTTATTTTTCTTACTCTTCACCAGAGAATATTTTTTCAGTTGATTTTTTTTAGAAAAAATGGAAGGGTGGAGGGTGGGGGAGAGAGAGAGAGAGAGAGAGAGAGAGAGAGAGAGAGAGAGAGAGAGAGAGAGGGAGGGAGAGAGGGAGAGAGACAGACAGACAGACATCAATCAGTTGGTTGCCTCTCACATGCACAGGATCAAACCTGAGACCCTTCGGTGCAGGGGGTCAGCACTTCAGCCGTTGACAACACTGGCAAGGGCTTCCCTTCTTTAAAACTGTCTTTGTTTCACATGCAAATTATTTAGCATTGCCTCTTGTGTATGCCATGTTTTTACTCTTATTCTTCATCCACACCGACACGGCTGCCCTGCTGGCATAGTCACCCTACGCTGAAAGTCACTTTGCTTTTGTCCTAAGTTAATGTTTACTTTCAGAGTATATATGGTTCTATAAACTGTCCTCATCAGTTATATGACAATACTATTCCTATGTAATGAAACCATAATATGCAAATTGACCGAATGGCAGAACCACCAGTAGAATGATGAGTCGTTATGACGTGCACTGACTGACCACTAGGGTGCAGAGACTAAATGCAGGAGATGCCCCCTCGTGGTCGGCGCGCTCCCATAGGGGGAGCATTGCTCAGCCAGAAACTGGGCTCACAGTGGTAATGAGCACGGGGTCCTGGACTGAAAGCCCCAGACTGTGAGAGGAATGTCTGACTGCCTGGAGATCGGGCCTAGGCTGGCAGGTGGACATCCCCTGAGGGGTCCCAGACTGTGAGAGGGCGCAGACCTGGCTGAGGGACCCCAAACTCCAGTGCAAAAATTTCATGGACTGGGCCTCTAGTTTAGAAAATAAATGTATAAAAGAAGCAGATGCTATGGCACTTGGGAGTTAAATTTCAGAGGGAAATAGCCTATATAATTAAGAGGTAACATGCAAAATAACCCTCACATCCTCACAAAATGGCTGCCTACAACCAGGCCTGCAGCCGGGGGGGGGGGAGGTTAGTGAGGGATGACCAACTGAACAGCATGCTATGTGGGGCAACCAGGCTGGCAGGGGGTTTAGGGGTGACCAGGCCTGTAGGGAGGTGCAGTTAGGGGCATCCAGGCTGGCGGGGGAGTGCAGTTGGGGCAGCCAGGCTAGCAGAGGGACAGTTGGGGGTGACTAGGCTGGCAGGGGGGGAAGTGAGGGGCGACTAGGCCAGTGGGAGGGCAGTTGGGGGTGACGAGGGGGGCAGTCAGGAGCAAACAGGCCGGCAAGGGGGGGTCAGTTGGGGGTGACCTGGCTGGCAGCGGGGGGACAATTAGGGGCGATCAGGTCAGCAAGCAGAGGCGGGGGGCGGGGGGGCAGTAAGGGGTGACCAGGCAGGCAGGTGAGTGATTAGGAGCCAGCGGCCCATGATTGTGAGAGGGATGTCTGACTGGGATTGGGCCTAAACTGGCAGTTGGACATCCTCCTCAGGGTCCCGGATTGGATGGGGTGCAGGCTGGGCTGAGGGGACCCTCCCCCGTCCACGGATTTCATGCATCAGGCCTCTAGTTAAGGGAATATTTAGATATAACAGCCAGGGACCTTTCTCTCTTTTCTTTTAATTAAGAAAGTTTTCTTACTATCCAAAGATAATTGATGATAATGACACTTAAAATATCTATAATGAGAAATGTTCATGATGAAATGTCTTGAGAATTTTCTATTTCATGTCTAAAAGGAAGAAGAAGAATTTTCAGTTCTTTCCAGCTGCCTGGGACTTCTGCCAACATTTTACCAAACAGAACATCCCTTCATCAGTGCCTCCTGCCTGGATTGGCCAGTTCCAGCATTTGATATTATAGCTCAGTGGTGTTCAGAGATAAATTCATTTACTGAAAGACATGCAGAACAAGGAAAGGTATGTAAAAGGAGTAGTGCTCACTTGCAGTAAAGGTGATGTGCTAATATTTAAGAGGTTAATGAACCTTTATGAATATTTAATATTTAAGAGGTTAATGAAACTTTAGGTCATCTATTTTTGGAAGCATTTATTAAGCTAATTACATTGAAAAATGATTTACTTACATTAATATTGGTTTTTGAGTGTAAAAGCAGAAGTATTTCAGTCAGTAAAGCTAAGGAATTGCTATGTCACTTTTATTTTGTTTTAGGTTGTCAGGTTTTTATTGTTTCCTTAAATAATCATATCATTAGACTTGGAAGATACAAAGGAATTTTAAGATAGATGAGGGACTTGTAAGCTTATTGGAAAGTGAACTGTCACAAAGAAATAAAAGATTTGGACTAGCATGTCTTAAAGGTCACATCTTGAACTTCAAAATTTGCTGGCCCATTGCTGCCAGCTCAGCTAGAGAAAGGTTTTGTGTTGGAGAGTTGGGGTAGCAGAGGGTGGTTGAATGCCATTGTTTGATGCTCAGACATTTTCTTTAGCTAGTACAGTATTTGAGAAATGGCATAATATGAGGGAAGTAAGTGTTTTATAGGCTAACCTGGTGGCTTTTTTAGCAGGTAAGTTGAAGTAAGGAGAGAGGGAAGCCAGAGATGATTATATAGAAGAAACTCTGTACTATTGTCCTAATAGTAGAAATTAGAATGTAACCGATGCAAGAGACATTTGAGAAAAATAGGACTTGGTGAACATATATAGATATGTTCTTGAACTCAAATAATTAGAAGAAAAGTAGTGAGTACCCATAGTTCTGATAGAAACCTGCTCCTGCTTAAACACCATTGATGATGCCCCATCAATGTATTCTTTGAGTAGCCATATTTATCACTGCTTATTATGTCTGATTTGTGGCTCCACAAAGCAAAATTTATTTGTATATCCTTGAATCCCTAGTTCCTATAAAGTGCCAGCTATAGACTAGTGAACTAATATTTGTGGAACAATTAAGTGGTGGTAGGATGTCATTGGCTGAAATAGAACTATTGAATGGGAACCAAATTTCAGGGAAAAATAGAATTTTAATTTTAACATCAAAGGGAAAGTAAAAAGATTAGTATTTTAGATAAAAGTGTCTTATTACACTTAATTTTTAAAACATTGAAGTGAACAATAAAGGCAAGATAAACACAAATAATAAATGTCTTTTTTACTCATTTCTGTTTTTTGTCAAAGTCCTTGAAGAGATAATATATCACTTTATACCTTTTTTTTTTTTTTAAAGGATTGGGAAATTCATGAAGTTAATTGAAATCTTACATATAAATTTTTTTTTTTTTTTTGCCCAGTAGTTTCTTTATTCATAGTTTGTAGCTAGAATCTGAAGTTATATTTTGATGTCTGAAAACCTATGAGGCATGACTTGGAATAAGAGATGGGTCTAATTGTACAATCAGGACAGGAGAAAAAGTAATGAGCATATTTAAAATTTTTGTTTTCATATGAGCCATGTGTTAAGCAACAGGTAAAAATAACTTTCCGGTATTTGATAGTATAAGATCAGGCATACATTTTAAATGAATGATTATTGGTGTAGATATTAAAAACTGAATTTTTAGATGAAATCATGTAAGATGCCACAACCACCTTGAAACCCTCGTTTCCTAATCTGTGCATTTTTAGCTGTGAGAGAACAATCACTTTTCTATAGAAGAAGATTCTTTTATTAGAGGCCAAGGGGTGTGAGTTACTGGATAGTTCACAGCCTAATCTAGCTAAGTATCAAGTTCAGTGAGGACAAACTGCATTCCTTCCACTGATGGAAGAGTTCCAATATAATCAACCCACTATGGAATAACAATTTTTGGAGTCCAGGGTTGGGCATTGAGTATTGGCAAAATAGCATATTGTAGGCCCATATATTGTCCTTATCTTCCTTCCATGGTCACTTTATCCATGAACTGATTGATAAACACCAGGTTAGCTACTTAGCCACTGCATTGAGTTAGATGAATTATAGCTGTAGATAATGTGAGATGAGCAACATAAGAGTTGCCTGCCATCTTTAGGGTTTCTTAAGGTAACAGATTCATATTACATTTTATTTGTGTTCATGAAGTAGCATCTAGAAAAAAATGAGTGCTGTTACCAATATTTTTATATCCCTGTAAACAATCAATAAAGTATATTTTGCAGGAAAATTGAACTAATTTGTCTTTTTTTAAAAAAAAGTAAGCAAATTTATCAAGACAAAATATCTTAGTTTGAGGTATAAGAAGATTTTACATCTTCTAGGAAGGAGATCAGTACTTTATATATAATCTAGATCAGGGGTGGGGAATGTAAGACCCTTGGGATGTATAAGGTGGTCTGGCTGTGCCAAGGCATTAGGGAGGAGTTACTTAAATGTTTGACCGAATATAGCGGCTGATTTTTAAGTTGATAGCTTGGTATGGCCCGAGAATGATGTTATAAATATCCAAATGGCCTTGATAGAAAAAAGGTCTCCTTCCTCCTGACCCCTACTCTGGGTTATAAAATATTGAAATAGAACTGAGTTAGAATTTTGACTTTCCCTAAAGAAAAAGCCAATGAGCTATTTAGTTAAGAAAGGTCAAAACTTGGTTTTAAGAAATGCATAACTGTTTAAAAGCATATATAAAACAAGTATATCTAGATATATTTTTCATGCATGCTTAGTTATATTTACTATTTTTCTTTCAAAGTAATAACAAGTTTAAGTGTTTTAGGGTGCTTAATCTAAATCTTGCATCATATTTTAAATAGAAACAACATTAAAAATAAAAAATGGTAATTTTTGAAATACTATTTTGATCATTTGTAAAATGGAAATGAGAAGAGTGTTAATAAAGAAAATAAGTTACATTTTTGTAGACAGATTTTTCCATTTTTTAAAAAAACATTTTAAAAAATAAGTATTTTGTGTTAATGACTTAAATACATAGGACTAATGAATATTTTTGGATAATGTTTTAGGCCTTGCTTATCCAAGAGTCAAGATGGAAGTTACCACACCTACTACAGTTGCCTGAAAATTATAATACCATTTTTCAGTATTACCACAGAAAAACCTGCAGTGTCTGCACCAAGGTTCCTAAAGATCCTGCTGTTTGCCTTGTTTGTGGCACTTTTGTGTGCCTGAAAGGACTTTGCTGCAAGCAACAAAGTTACTGTGAATGTGTATTGGTAAGCATTAGTAAATAATAGCTATTTTATGAAAACTCAATTTCATATCACATGGATGTGTGCTATATAGATACATATATATGGTCAAGCCAGCTCTAAAAGTTTAGGCTTTGAGTGAAACAATTTCATATTACATGGATGTATGCTATATAGATACATATATATGGTCAAGCCAGCTCTAAAAGTTTAGGCTTTGAGTGAAACAATTTCATATTACATGGATGTATGCTATATAGATACATATATATAGTCAAGCCAGCTCTAAAAGTTTAGGCTTTGAGTGAAACAATACATATGTAAAGATTTCATTCTTTTTTGTTCTTGTTTGTTTTTCTTCTTTTTAACCCAGTAAAAGGGTAAAGCAAAGCAAAGCAAAACAAAACACCTGAGGCTTTGAGTAAAACCTTTCACAATACAATTTTCCTCTTCCTACTCCCACTATCCTTTACTGATACACCCGAGGCCTGGTGCTCAAAATTTGTGCATGGGGATGCGTGTCCCTCAGCCAGTCTGCACCTTCTCTAATCTTGGACATCCCTCACAATCCAGGATTGCTGGTTCCCAACCGCTTGCCTGCCTGCTTGCCTGATTTCCCTTAACCATTTCTGCCAGCCAGCCTGATCACCCCACTCCCCTGCCAGCCTGATTGATGCCTAACTGTTCCCCTGCTGGCCCGTAGTCCCTAACTGCATTTCCCTGCTGACCTTGTCATCCCTAACTGCCCTCCCCTGCCAGCCTGGTCACCCCTAACTGCCCTCCCCTGCCAGCCTGGTCTCCCTTAACTATCCTCCCCTCTAGACCTGGTCACCCCCAACAGCCCTCTCCTGCTGGCCCAGTCACCCCAACTTCCATTCTCTGCCAGCCTGGTCATCCCTAATTTCCTTCCCTTGCTGACCTGGTCCTCCAAATGCCCTCCCTTGCAGGCCTGTTCCCCCCAATTGCCCTCCCCTGCAGGCCTGGTCCTCCCAACTGCCCTCCCCTGCAGACCTGATCACCCCCAACTGCCCTCCCCTGCAGGCCTGGGTCCCTCCCAACTATCCCCCTCTAAGGCCTGGTCACTGCTAACTGCCCTCCCCTGCTGACCTGATCACCCCAACTGTCCTCCCCTTCAGGCCTGGTCACCCCTAACTTCCCTCCCCTGCTGGCCTGATTGCCCCCAACTGCCCTCCTCTGCCAGCCCGGTCACCCCTAACTGCCATCCCTTGCAGGCCTGATCCCCCCTAACTGCTCTCCCTTGCAGGCTTGCTCCTTCCCAACTGTCCTCCCCTGCTGGCCATCTTGTGTTCACATGGGGGCGGCCATCTTTGACCACATGGTGGCAGCCATCTTGTGTGTTGGAGTGATGGTCAATTTGCATATCACTTTTTTATTATATAGGATACTTTTGAATGTTCTGCAATGAAACCACAGTTAAATAATCTCATGTAGATGCTAACCTCCGAATTAGGTTTGCATTGGCTTCTCTTGTGTGTGTGTGCCTGCTTATTTTTAATTTTTTTTCTTTATTAAGAAATTACATATATGTCCTTTATTGCCCCATTGTACCCCCCACCCCTACATTGACTTTTAATTGTTTTTCTAGATAATCCTTACCCAAATTCCTCCTAATGTATTATTAGTAAAGTGTTAGAAATGAGAATGTAAATTTAACTTAGATAAAATCTTATTAAAAAATTTTAAAAACATGCCTGTTTTATTTAGAAGAAATTTACTTAAGGGATTGTTGATTTTTTAATGTAAAGTCCATTTGATTATAAAGTTATTGGATATATTTTTAATCTTTTAGCATTCTCAGAACTGCGGTGCCGGCACGGGAATTTTCCTTCTGGTCAACGCATCGGTGATCATCATCATCCGTGGGCACCGCTTCTGCCTGTGGGGCTCAGTGTACCTGGACGCGCACGGAGAGGAAGACCGGGATCTTAGGTGAGAGTGTGTGGGTGGCACAGGTGTGTCGCTGACATCTGGTCTGGTAAGAACAATGTGCCATTTCTAGCTTTGTAATAATAAAAGTTTTATATTAAGAAATTCTGACAATCATTAATTTAGAGCTAATTCTAGTTTTGAAATATTTTCCTCATCAACCTGCTAAGGAAACATGAAATAAACCAAATTATTATGTGAAATTTTTGCCATGAAAATTCTGTTTTTAAAAATATGTATGAAATCTTCGTTGTATTTTATTACTTTTAATACCTTTTCCCTCTTTTTTTTTCCTAGGCGAGGCAAGCCTCTCTACATTTGTAAGGAAAGATACAAAGTTCTTGAACAGCAGTGGATCTCTCATACTTTTGATCACATCAATAAAAGATGGGGTCCACACTACAATGGGCTCTGACTCACCACGGCAGCACTGCATTATATTATCATTTTCATTAAGAATTTATCAACAATAAGCTTTAACTTAATTTGGGGGATTAACACTTTTGCTGAGGGAAAAAAAGAAAACATATGTTATGAAGCCTTTCCAAAATTAGGTGCTTGGTAATCGCATTAATGGTATAATAATTTAAAAAAGTATCTGGAGAACATAAGCTACAAGTTAAATCATTCTTTAGTGGTCATTTTAAAAATCTACAATTAATAAGAAGCACAATTTGACAAAATTATTTAAAACTGATTCTCCCAGCAATGCATATCAATGATTCATTGATACTTAGAGTGGGTGTGATTTATTTAAAGTTTTACTGCTTCTTTATATCTGTGTTAATTTTCATCTGCTAAACATAATGCATCTTTTTCCCTCACTATTCTTGTGTTGATTTGAGATTTTGCTGTATGTAATTAGAAAAAAATTGTAAAACATGATTTATGTGAAATATTGTATAGTAAAAGTTGGTTTAATAGTAGAACTTTAAAATGTTTTCTTATTGTGAGGAATCTGTTAAAGTTTAAGGCTTTGCTGAAAACTTAATTCATTCTCAGGAATTTCATAAATATTCTCCCCAGATAAATAATTGAAATAATTGTAAAATAAGTAGGTAGCTGCTGTTAATATAATACAGTACATTTTGGGAGATACATGAGTGCTTGGGGAAGGGAGTCCTTAAAAATCAAAATTTTCCATTTCAGTTGGTTGAATTACTGGAGATAGTAACAAATAGATTTGACTATAAAATTAAATTTTAAGAGCATACACATGGCGGATTTTGAATCTGCTCATGCCTGCTTTTATCAACCACACTTTTTTTTTTTAAATGATTGGATTGGAAATGCTCAGACTTCCCCAGTTTTGGAACTTTTCTTTCAGCTCAAGAGGTTCATCTATATATTTGTGCAATGTAATCACTGCTATTTCTGCATGGTTTCCTAAAGGGGAGGCAAAGGCTCAGTGGTGAGGACCCTCATGAACGAGCCTCACATCTGCATTCTTCTTAAATGCTGTTGTGAAAAGCAATTTATGTTTGTAGGGTTTTAACTCAGAATGGGAATGATTGAGCTAAACTCAATTAGAACAGAAGGAAGATTACAGAGAAGCATGTTATATTTTGCTGCTGTTTTTTTTCTTCCAAATAATTAAGTTGATGATTATTTCATACTTAGCGCTATCAAACAATTCCAGATACTTTGGACTGAACATGGCTTGTTATATAAAATTACATTTTTACACATAAAAATAACCTAAAAAAAATCTAATGATAAAACATAAAAATTAAGTCAGACCTAGCTTCTAAAAATCATGAATGACATGATATTACAGAATATACAAGTGGACATTAAATGATGGCCTTGGTTAAAATAAAGAGCAGAACAATACATACTCAAATGTGTTCAAAAAGTCAAAAAATTACCTATAGCTCTACAATAAAATACATGGAAATAGCTTGCTATTTTTATATACATTTCCAAAATATTAAGATAACTTTCTGAAAGAGAATGATTCTGTTTAACTAAATAGCTGTCCTTTCCAACTCATTACTACTTTTTATAGTAATGTATCATAAGTTCAGCCTGTCATATTTTTTTGCATCAGTCATTATGACTACCAGACCATTTGTAAGTGTGGTTGAAGAGAAAAATGCTAATTTACATCTCTAGTAAATACTGTTTCAGGATTCATGAACTTGAATAATTCTACAGTTTGAAACTCTGATGCTATATATACATGGTATAATGTATTCAGACTTTGATTACTACATATTTAATATGGAATGTTTTATGGTTGTGCATATGGATGTGAAGTGAAAATATTAGCCTTAACATTAAAATTTTGGTTTGATAGTGTTTATTTTGATATTGGTGAATTAGTCACCAATAAATTTTTAAAAAGCACTTGGTTGAAAATTGTACTTGAATTCATACATGCATGCTGCTAAACTAGAACTTTAATTTCCCCCCATAACTTTTTTAAGTACCATTTATAAATTCACTTTTAAACATAACAGGTCCAAGTTAGAGTGCTGTGTGTATATTATTCAAAAAATGTACTGGTGTGATACCTTGTATGAATGATCATTTAAATACAGTACATTACTGTAGAAGCTAAATCAATCTTTATAATTAAGCAGAAATTATAAAACTAGGAATAATCAACATTGTAAGATATGTTAATAAAAACCTACTGTCATTTGGTTTGTGAAAGGTCCTTAAAATGTTTAATGTTTACATGTTTTTTCAAAGATATTGACAATAATGTATTGTAAGTGAGCAAAGCTCAAAAGATGAAAGTATAACAACTAATAATTGCTTCAGGGTAGAGTTTAAGTGTAAAGGGTTTGTTTTTCCTTTTCTTTTTGCTTTTGAGAGCTAGTTCCTATTTCTGCTATCCTTGTGTTAAAATTAATGCAAAATCTTTGCTAAGTGCATGTGTTCTGGAAAGGAGAGGGGAGAAGAAAATGGTGGTGCAGATCTGAGGAACACTGCTATCGATGGTCCTTGCTTGCTGAAAATTCCCATCTGGACTTCAGAAATCTGAAGGGATTTGTGATAATGGTCTTTTTGAATGGTCTGTGGTGTTTGAATTGACAGTTCTCATCCCTGCCCCTCCATCCTGGAGCTCACCAGCCAATCATCACCAGCCAGTTAGGAATTCATTCATGTTTACAAACCTTTCTGCTTTGTGTTTTGATATTTATTGATTTCTTTGACCTAGGAAAAAACCTGATAGAAGCACTTAAAGCTTGGAGGGAACAACAGCACCAGAGGAGATGTGGCCCAGGAGTCTTTGCCAATTCTCAAGTTCCCATTCTTGGCTCATATTTGAGGTCATGTTGACAACAATAAAACCCAAAACAATGCAACATAGTTTTAACCACTAGAATCACCAAGACAAGATACATCTATTGTAGCTTGAGGTTATGCCTGACGCTTGAGAATTAGTGGGAGAGCAGAAGACTTGTTACTGTCTCAGTCTCATTCACAGCACATAGTCCTATCTTTTATCTTTGTGATCTGACTGGATCAAGCTCAGGGGTGAACTGTAGAGGGCAGAAGGATGGCAACATCATCACTTGATTTGTCAACTTCAGGCTCCCTTGATAATAAGGTATATCAAGTATTGAAGGGCTGTACACCTTAGTGTGCAGTAATCTAGCAGTGGAGTGGATTCCACTCCAGCTGATGCAACATAATGAAGAAGCATAGTGATACCGTGAGTTAATTTAATACGAAATATGACAATACCAAGATAGATGTGGCAGAGCTCAAGAGCGGGCCAGAGAAGTAGTTCAAGAGCACAGATAACTGGTTCTGCTTGAGAGGAAGGAATAGGGACAAGAGAGAGAAAAAGCTTAGCTTACCTCGGTGATAGAATAGCAGGATCATCTGTTGAGAGTGAGCAGGTGTACAATAATTTGGGGACTTGAGGTAAGTGGTAAAAGTTTAGACATATTGTAGGAGAGAATAGGCTGGGAATAAAAAGCACCATAGAAGTCATTTTGAGGATCCTGTAGGGTTAGAAGCCATATTTTAATGGAGCCAATTAGAAAGGTTTTATGACTATGAGCCCAGCAGTCTAGGATCCCAAGGGTAGAAATTAGACTGCTAAATTCATGTTTTGGGTATTTGAGAGGTGAGTACAATGTAAGGTAGTAAGAAATTTGGGGGTGCTAGTTGAAAAGAGTAGGGTCCATGTGGGATAAATTGAAGGGTAAAATATTATAAATCACAAGATTTAATGTAAGCTTTCAAAGTTTTCTTTCAAAATTATGAAAATTGCTTTAGTGTTGAAGCATTAAAATTCACTTTAGTAAATTTTTTTTGTCTCCTTCTATGTGCCATGCCTTGTGTAAATACTGGAAATACAATGGAAAAGAAGCCAGACAGTCCCTTCTCTCACAGAGCTTTTTGTGTAATTCTACAAGTGGTGTGTGTAGGGAGTATTGGGGGCAATGGAATATAGGATACTAAAGAAGGCACCTCTAATCATACTTGGGAGTGTGAGGAGGCTTTCAGGGGTAGAGATGTCTAAAGATGATCCCCAAATACTGTGTAGGAGATGCCTGGTGAAAGGGAAGGTGTGGGGAACACTGTTTTAGGTGAAGAGAATCATTTGCGAGATTCAGAGTTGAGAGAGAATCTTTAGTTGGAAGACTTGAAAGGGAATCATTTTGACTCTAATATTGGTACTTTTGAGAGAGAAGTAAAAATCTAAATTACAAAGGATTTTTGTAAGTCTTCTAAGAGTTTTAGACCTTTTAAAGCTATCAGATTTGCATTTTAGTAAAGTTAGTCCAGCTGCACTGTGGAGAAAAATCCAGTGTGGGAAGATTTGCATAGGTATCTATTGAAAGAATCCAGACACAACAGTTGGCTCAACTAGGGGAGTTGTGGTGGAGACAGAAAGCAGTGGACAATAGCAGAAGAGAATTGCCAGAATCAATAGGGTAAGGGAGAACAAGGAATATTAAGTGCCTACTGTGTGCCAGATGCTAAGCTAAATGCTGAGGATGCCACAATGAACAAGACTGTTAGTGTCTCTCCCTGCAGTCTAGTGGAAATCAGCACTCTATAGGTAAATGGATGTTATCAGCAAATTGGGGCTATGGGAACCAATGGGCAGACAGGATACACTCCAGAAACTGAATGGATCTTTAAAATATCACGCTAAGTGAAATAGGACAAAACCATATGCTTTCACTCATGGAATATAAAAAAAGTGACAAGAACAAACTCAGATACAACAGATTGGTGGTTATAGAGGGGAAAGAGGGTGGGGAGGGGCAAAATTGGTTAAGGGGGTCAAATACATTGAGTGGCCAGATTATGATGATCTCTGAATGCACAATAATCTTGCCACTCAGTGCATATCTTATATAGTAAAAGGCTAATATGCAAATTGTCCCCTGGCCAGGCTGGCCGGACCCCTCCTATGCACAAATTCATGCACTGGGCCTCTAA